CCTAGTGATGAAAGATGAGGTGTGCCTTGCTTTTATGTGATCCGATTAACCTCCAGCTGGGAGTGGGCTCTCTGCTCGGCTGTGGTTCTCCTGCAGTGTCAGGGTGCATGTGATGGGCACTTAGGGCGATTAGTGCTCCTGTGTGTTTTGTTTGAGGTGATATATCACCGGGAACATTTCACTAACCAGAGGATTGTGTGGCTCACCAGTGAAGATGGTTCTGTACTGTTCTGCACTCTATTGAAGAATAATTGTTTAGATTGTGATTGTGAGACTTGAGTATAATACATGATTCTTCTTCATGGTTCCTATAAACCAGGTATATGCATGGAAAAGAATGTATATTTAGATTTGATTTGTCAAAACATGTCCTTAGTACAGGACTTAAAATACTATGGGGGGTTTTTCGACAGCTTAGCTTGCACAAGCCTTTATCAGAAGCCGTCTTTGACCTCACCAATGACATTTTCTCCAATTGAGCAGCAGCTGACATTTATATCCAGCCCTCCAACAGCTGAAAATAGTCTTTTCATTCCATTGTTCTGCGCAAGAAGATGGAAAAAGTTACCTCTCGCGCGGACCGACAGTGGTTCCATTGACTTCAAGGTCCCCACTGCAGCTCCTCTGCAAAGCAAGCCACCACATAGAACAAATCTTTAACAAAAGGAAATGCCACGTAAAAGATCACGTCTTAATGCTTTACCTTGGGGACTTATGAGAAAGAAAATTCTGGAATTCAAAAGTGTTTTTTTTTAAATGTCAATATTAGAAGACAAAACACGATGTGCGTCTCTTCTTTAAAACACACGACGCTCATCAAAACACATCAACGCTCCTTGATAGGAAAAGAATAACAGCATCACACAGCATGAAAATGGCTGTTTTTTATTTTGTGATAACTGCAAATAGATGCTTGGGTCCGTCTCTGCTCCTGCTCTACTAAAAGGCGTCTTCTTGGAAAAAGCAACACCAGAGGTCTTCTTTGCATCAGCGTACTATGTAACATGATAACACTTCCTATGTTAGGCAACCTCTTAATCCAAAGTAGTGACGAAACCAAGACCGTTCCATAAAATTAACTCAAGTTTATTATAGTAACCATGGCCACCGCTGGGCTCTATTTCAGGAGACGTCCTATGAGTCGTATCACAGGGAGAAGGAACAAACAACCTCTGTGGTTGTTCAGTTTGGTGCCGACTGGTTCTAACCGAATCCTCAAAAACGAGTCACAATTATTTTGTTTCTTTTTATTTTCTTCCGAGTCGATGTTCTGCTTCCTGTTTACAGCAGCGCTCAGATCCCCAGTGTATGTGTAAAGTCATGTTAATAGGGTTTTCATATATAGTTGGAGATCATTTTTGATACGGAACTAAAATGCACGTCTGGACGGAGATTGTTTTTGTTCAGTCTGGATTCAGTTTAATTTGGCCACCAGGGCTGAGTCTGTGGGATTGAATCAAAAATAAGGGAAAGAGCTCATCAGCGCTCAAACTTCTAAAACAGATGAAAGCAACGTTCTGCCATGTTTGTGAAGAAAAACAAGTCAGGCGGGTCATGCACATAATCTCTTGCTGCGCAGTAATCTCAGAATTTTTTAGAGCCAATCTCAACCTCCTACCGTTGCCGCTCAACTTTACACCTCAATCACTTCTCACTCTATAGATGTGATATAAGAAAATCTGTTTGATAAATATATTATTGAAGTCTTGACAACTTAAGATGTTTGATCAAGGAGTGGTTGCAGGATGAACACATGGTGGAGGATAAAGCTCGGAAGAGGAGGATGAGAAGAGGAGGGAGGGATGATATTTCTTAGGTGAAGTTCTACTCAGGTCACCAGATATGAGAAAACAGATTATAAAAAGAAAAAAGGTTTAATTTGATGCCTGTCGTTTCTGTCTTTGAGACACAAAGGCTTTAATACCATTTTAAAGAGATGATTTCAGAAGTTTCTTGTTGCATGTTGTAGGAACATTATGGGAAATGGTATAGATGGGTTTTAATTTGAAGACCCATGCCCCTGTAGGCCCCTCTATGCTACATGAATATAACATCAAAACATTAAATCCTGAATCCAGCATCTGTCTAATGATGAGGCCAGTCCGGCTCAGCTGCACGTTTGATATGTGATCCAACTCCTCAGTCCGTGTCCTGAGGGGTTGGCAGGGCCAAGAAATCCTCCACAAGAGTTTACAGCCAGGATTTACCACAGGGGTTAAGTTATCTGCACAAATCAATCCCTTTTTCATTTGCAGAAACAGTCCTGCAGACATGATTTACAAGTACAGTAGCTGCAGACATGAAATCCAAGGGCAACTCAGGGCTACAAATCACGCTGGCTTAGGCTGCCAGTTTATGATGTCCTGTTGGTATCATGGAGGGGAACATATTCTGAATCTCAAGTTGCAAATTACAACATTTTCTTCATGTACTGGGGTATTTAGTTCCATCTGTGTCATAGTAAGTATAAACTAGGACATTGTGTCACAACCCCCGGAGAAAAAAAGAGAGAGAGAAATCCTCTCTCTGAGCTGTATACACGATCCAGAACCAGCTAAGCACTCGCTCCTCTCTTGACATTGCTCTCTGTTTTGTCATCTTTAAGGGTAAACATTGTTCGCTCAGTCAGAACTGTGCAGTAGCAGTCGCTCCCTGTGTACTGACTCAGTGAAGTCTTCACAACCTATTTTACATCACAGTTGCGGCTATGGATGAAAATACAATGTAAAATCTGGCGTCCGAGTAGTTTGAAGAAGGTGTGCAACATGAATACAAACATAAAACCAACGGCTCGGAGAATAGGGCAACCAATTCATATTCATGATCCATTCTTATTTGTTTCGGATATCAGTGTCCGACATTTTACAGTTAATGCATATGATTAGAGAGAAGACTGGTCGGTAATTAGGTTCAGCAGTGTAGCTGTTTTTCATTTCGGCCGCCAGCACAACAATCATAACTGTGGCCGAGGCGCGTGTAATAGTTTGAACATTTTTTGTATTTATTTTTGAACAAAGCGGACTTGGTCGGGTGTTTCTTGATTTCTTGCCGCCGAAGCTTCAATCCAAGTCCTGACCTGTGTAATAAAACTAAATATACTTGGCTGCTCCAGTTTATCGAGACTTATAACGGCTAAAAAAGATGACTGATTGGATAGTAACTCTCCAATCGATTCATTAGGCTGGGTTATATCGTCAAAGAAAGAGACTCTTGATAAAAGACATTTCTCAAAGACATAAGAATGAAAGGTAGATAATGAAAAACCTATTACTGGAAATAGCCTGGTGCATGAACAGTGAATGCCTCTTTACAGTAAATAATGATCAATGTAGAGTAAACTTATAAAAAAAATAGTTTTGAGCCTCCCCAAACCTTAGTGAGTTTCAATTTCATTCAACGACTATATTCAAAAAATGCATTTTAAAAGTTTGGATTAGTTTGAGTCAGTCGGTCCTGTCCGAAGTTCCTGCGCCCGACTCTGGCTCCGTCCGTCAGGTGAGCTGGTCATTGCTCTGCTGCCACGGATCGTCACAAATCACAAATCACTGCCACATGTCACCCAAAGCAAGCAGGGTCCGGGACAGAAAATCAATGGGCTCTCATGGGCCACTCCATCAGTCCAAATATCTGGAGTTTGATGGCAAAGAGAAAGAGGCAGTGGGAATGATTTGCAGGCCGGGGAGGGGTGGAGGCAGGTCTTAAGGGCTGTGCAACGTCTGGTCAGGTTGCATCTGCATGTTTGAGCGTGATGTGTAGTATCCCGTAAGAAGAAAACCTAAAACCTGACTTCTTGTACCTAAACCAAATAGATATTTTCCTTCAATGTCTTAAAACAGAGGTTTTCAAACTACGTGAAATCTCCCCTGTGTTTGATGGGAGAGTTGAAGCAGGGAAGGAGAGACATGAGCTGAAAGGGAGAATGGCCGTGTGTTGTGGGAACATTGAGAAGTTCATTATCATTGTTTGCTCACTGATTTGCTTAAGGCCAGCAGTTGCAGCAGCAGCGGCTGTGACACAGCTCAATAAGGAAGTTAAGGTACTTAAAAACCAGATGGCAGAAAAGTACTTCTTTGAATCATAAGTCTCAGACATGATACATATGTATTTAGATGCAGTGTAGATTACACAATTTGTCTGTTGTGAATCAATGCCCGTAAATCCACATTAAAACAGACGATTCCGAGAATCATATAGTTTTTAAGTTTTCCTGTGTACCATCATGCACCTGCATCAGATCGTTATAGAATCACATGGGTTTTGTGATGGGTTGTCTGGGTTTTGTACATAAGTACATAAGTACACGAGTACATAAAAGTACATTTTCTCATATTTAGATCAGGGAATATTTTTATCAGAAGAAAAACTAAATTTGCAATAATTGTTGATTTATTCTAATTTTCCAGCAGTAGCATTTCGTGAAGTCTGACAGTCGTGAAGCACCAGTGATAGTCTGAGTGACTGAGGAGGGGATGCCGGGAGGATACAGCAGATCAAGTCATATTAGAAAAAAAAAAATGGAGGAAGGAGAATATAAAGGACAGATCGAGTTAGTGCGTCATAGTGAAAGGGATCGAGCACATGAGGGGAGCGTGAACAAGCCCGATAAGCAAGTGACTCAGAAAGACGTCTGTATTTTGAATTGAATTGAACAAATTCCTTTTGAGTTAGTGCAGCAGCTCATGAAAGTGATATCATATGGAAATGTTTCCAACGAACCATTTAACATCCCCGCTGGAACTCACTGTAGATAAGATTGCCTCAGGTTGCAGGCCGTGCATGCAAATGTTATGGTAAATGTGAAGAGCTGCCATCCAGGTCATGATTTAATTCTTCCAATTTTTCTCATTTGGCTCTTTGATTTAACACCTGGCTCAGGTTTTTGTTGATATGGGTTTGGACAATGAATGTCTCTCAGTAAAATGATGGATAACCACAAGTCTGCTGAGTTTTAAAGTGAAAGAAAGACTAACTGGGAGTCTGTCACTCTCTCTGTGTTTCAGTGGTGGACAGCAAGGTGATCCTGGAGGGCCTGCAGAGGTATGGCCCCACGCCAATCTACCTGCCTGTCAGCTACCGGATCCTCAACGCAGAGTCAGCGTTCTTCCTACAGGAGGCTAACCAGGACTTAATGAGGAACTCCAGCCTGCAGGCTCGCACCGAGTCTTTCTTCATCCATCAGGCTCGGCAGATGCCCTTTGTCAATGCTAGCTACGGGCCACTGTCAGTGCAGCAGCCTGTCCCCCTGGAGCTGCTGCAAACCCTGCCAGGGTCCTTCAATACAGCCTCCGTCACTTCATCATCAGCGCCAACATCAGCAGCAGCATCGCCTCTGTTTACATTCAACTGGAAGGTCCACACATACATTATCAGCGAGAGCATTCACCCCAGTTGGCCAAAGGTCCAAGTGTTGTTCTACGTTGCAGGAAGGGACTGGGACGATTACAGTGCCATCCACAAGCTGCCCTGCGTCAGGATGTTCGCCTTCCACGAGACTCAAGAGGTGCGCGGCACGTGCCGGCTTAAAGGTGAGTTGGGGATATGCGTTGCCGAGCTAGAGCCCCTGGCCAGCTGGTTCAGCCCCCCCACTGTCAGGCCGGGGAGGCAGAGGGTCTCTGAGCAGGCCCAGGGCACTCCTGTGGAACTCTACTACATGCTTCAGAACACGGACAACGGAGACTGCAGCTCAGAAGATTCAAGAAAGGGCAGCACTGTTCGCTCCGAGCAGCCGAGGCCCATGGGCTATTTTGCAGGCCATACACCGATGCAGCGGATCGGGAGTGTCAGGCTGTTTCAGCCGCTGTTGGAGCTCAAGCTGGACAATAACTTTGTGGTGATGGCACCCTCCAAACCTATCCGGCAGAGAGAAACAGTCTCCACCTTTCTGGCTTTGTCCACACTGTCCTCAGTGCAAATCTTCACCCTCAGGTGAGTAAAGCTCCTCCTGGGAGAACACAGTTTACTCTGCTGCTCCGCTAATGCTTTCTCTTTGTCCTGTTTGAACAAAATTCCCTGAACATATATTACATGCAGTTGAATTAAAGTTAAGTGGTTAGTTTTTAAATAAAGCACCAATGATCGATAGACCTTTTGAGAATACCCCACTACCACAGACGTGACAACGCACAGGAAGTAAATCAAACAGATCGCAGTTTTCAGACAATATAGAGAAAATACAACAATTGCATTTCCTCTTTGCAATAATCAGTAACTTGTGGTTTTGTAAACTTCACCTTTAACATCTCACTTAATCATAAATAATCTGCACTTGGAAAAATCTGGGATTAATCTCTGGTATTTGAGATTAGAAAATATCTGCATGATAAGCTTTTGATTTGCCACATCACAGTCAGCGTCTCCCTGCCGCTACGACTTTGCTGCTCAGCATTATTTGGGTTTTTTAGCCTGGTTATTTAGATCGTTTGTCGAAGTAGAAGTCAGAAAAAAATAACATCACAAATGACAAAGGCATGTAAACAAGACAGTGGTAACAACACAAGTCCTTGTGTAATCAATTACCGCAGCTTCATTGTGTGCACAGACAACACAGACAAACACTCAGATCCTTAACCTGGTTATGCTGTCGCCGAGGAAAATTCTAATTTCAGCTGGAAGAAGTTTTTTGTGTGAAATAACATGATTTTCAGTGACAAAGAGATTGTCGCACACCAAATCTTGGCTCTGAACCAACCTGAAGCCTCTTGGTATTTAGTGAAAGAGGTTTTCTGAAAGTGGAAGCACAATCCAAAGACAAGAATCTCACAAAGTTTGAAGAGAGTTCATTTGTGGTATTATTTGTCGTGCTTACAGTTGAAGGGTCACACTCATAATTATGTATCAGCTTAACAGTGTATTTTTCCTAGTTATACTTTTATAACTACATTTTGCTTACATTAGATAATCTCATCATTTTACCATATTTGTTTTTTTTTCTTATCTTTCTTTTCTGCTTGTGCAAAATATTTGGTTATATTGCGATGGATAAGGTTCTGTCGACAAGGTTTGTTTGTGTTTATTGCACCCTTCCAAATAACACTGGAGAGATTACAGATATCAGACTGCTTAGCACCCTCTAAACTGCATCTTTGAAAGTCTGCAGGGGATTGTTTAGCCTGGATAACGCCTTAATTATGCTTTTGTGTTATTTATTAAAATTGCTTCATGTTCTCACCTTCAAAATTGCCTGTCGGAGGAAAAAATGTTTTTTATCTGAGGTGATTCCACACAACAACAAAGTGGGTATTGATACATCGAGTGTTGTCTCACACAAATTACGATTCAAAGTGACTGTAATTGCTTCATGTTGTGTGATGCAAATGAAGGTGTAAGGAATATGCTTTTCCGCCGGGCTACTTTTATGCCCGAGATCTAAATCACGGCAGTTGAAACAGTTAGCAGCCTCAGAGTGGAGCTGTGACAGACAGCCTTGGCGATTTGTCAACCCTGGGTAAGCAGGAAATCTGCCAAAAAGCCTCATTGCTTTTTCTCTCACTCCAGTGATGATGAACTCCCATGAAGTATTAGTGCTCGCAGTGTGTGTTTATCACATTTGTCAGCATGTGTGTAAATGGGAGCTTTAAAGTCGGTGTTTTTTCCTTCTTGTGCCTCTTTGCACGAGCACTGCAGCCCGATCGTTCAGAAGTTTTCCATCGGGAAGGAGCGGACTTAAAATCCAACCAAAATATCTCATTAGCAACCAAAAGATTAAACCTCAAAGTGTTTGAAAATCACAGACTACTTGACAGTAGTTGACTGCCATCTGACCAGACTCTGTAAGTGAACACCCAAATGCTGATGATTAATCTGGTGTCGGTTTTTTTGATTTTCCGATAAGACAAAACTTTGCTTTAAAATACCCTTTCAGCACTCGATATTCTCCAGATGATGAAATGAATTCAAGTCTACTTTAACTGGCGGTGGGAAGTTCGTGCGTCTGTACTTCAGCACAGACGTTTTGAGTCTGTATGTTTGCACGCTGCTCTCTCTCTCTCTCTCTCTCTCTCTGTGTTTGCATACTGTCTGCCGGTGCTTGCTTATTCACTGGCGTGGGTGTGTTTATGGACAGCTTACATTACAAGTAACTCTAGTGTGTTTCTCCCACAAGCTGAGGCATCATTAAATATTTATATTCTATGGAGTTACTTCCATCTCCTCCACATTATGTCTCCCCCACCATCCCTGCAGCACAGACTGACTGGTGACAGAAGACTATTGTCTGTATTCTGGGTACTTGGGCACAGATTCTATATTGCAATGCTACAAATACTTTAATCTGATGTCATGATATATTGCAATTGCAATGTTTACTTTATAATACTACACGTTTTCATTAAACACACTATGTTTAATATTAATGGTGGAGTGGAATATCAAGGTGCCCTCTTTACACAGCCTCATCATGTCCTCTGTTAACATGGAGGAGACAGGATTTATGACCTGTACTGCAGCGAGCCACTAGGAGCAATCGAGATGCCTTGCTTCACTTCCCAGGAGTCATGTCTTCCTTCTTTCCATACAGGAATATTTTTGAACAGTGTTCAATACGTGTTCAATTTATCAAGTGCGATACTCGTTACCTCAGCCCGACTGTTCTCCAACATATGCTAGTGACAGATGGGAAAAGTCAAATTTTATACTATATCATTTTGCTCTTTGTATCCGCCTCTATACTTCTTTTGATAAAAAATCTAAATCTAATACATGTGTATAATCCTTTTAATTTTTATATACACTCAGATTCATTGATGGATGATTACTGGCACTTTGAATATTTCAAGTTCACTAACACACCAAAAGAGAAACCAAGAAATATCAGAAAAGTCGTGTGCAGTTGTATTTATTTTGCAGTGGATTTAAGGACCTGCTGAGATTTCCAAGGGCCAATAAACTTCAATTCAAAGCTGCATCAGTGTGTGTTATTATTTATTACTCTGCCTTGTTTGTCAGCATCATTTACATCAGCAGCATGTGTCATCTAATTTATTGACTCTCTCTGGACCTTGCTAGAGAAATTGTTGGCATTTTAGAATTAGGAAATTATACCGGCAGGCTTTATGTTAAGTCTCGCTGTTTATTATAAGTGCAGGTTATAATTTGATTCATTGAAAACTATTTTAACATTTCAATGATAATATTCAAAATATATCATCATACATACCGATGCCAGCTCTTAATGTTTACCACAGACAAATCAACGCACCGGCCATTTTTCTCTCTCTGCTTTATTGTGTAATTGGCTGTATTGGTCCTAATTTAATACAATTACTTTGACTGTGATTACAGGAATTAAATCCCAGACAGTTGACAAAACACACACACACACACGTCAAGTCATGAATATTCATGCATAAACTCATACTGACACATCCTGACGCCCGCACGCACACGTGCGTGGACCTGCTCGGTGCCAACTGTAGAGTCACGGGATGTTTGTCAAGCTAAAGGCTCCCACTGGAATTAGTAATTCCCTGCTCCCTGCCTCATTAGCTGTGAAGAGAGTGGTGCAGCAGGTTTGGAAAAAACGTTCTCCAGCTACTCCTTATTCAACATGCAAATGAAAAAACCATTTCCTCCTGAACAAATTAACAGGCTTTTCAAAAGATAAATTGCCCCAGCTGTATTGTAATTTTGACTAAACAATCCAACGTATTTCCACAGACTCCCCCCCCCAGGGCCGGTGTTGCTGATGAATGCAAATTAATTTCTAAATTCTGAGCGAGTGAAGGTGTAAGTATGAGATTCCTCATACTGTGCCAACCCAAACAACCAGCATGAGTTGTTTTATTATGCAGAGATTTAGCAGGTGAAAGAGGCAGCTTCAGTGTTGGGGCTGTGAATAAAGACGTGGAATTAGCGGAGGCAGTTATTCAGATGCTGGGGATGCATCGTGCTTTGCGTCAGATTCTGTTCCAGGTCGGGTTTACAGCTTGTGTGACTCAGCTGATTGTTATTGGCCATTGTTTGTTGAAATATCAGTGGGAGAAAAGGTTAGAATAAAGATGTTCTCCTCAGAGTATTAGCCTTATCTTGACGGCACTCCTGTGATTCAGTTCTCGGTAAAGGTCACCCAAGATAGGTATGTTGCTTTTCCATTTCCATTTCTGTACTTATCTGTTCCTTTTTCCCCCGTATTTTATCTTCCGCTCTGTCTTAGTTCCTTGTGTTTTTTAACCTTTCCCTTGCGGTGCATGCGCTCTGCTCTCCCATCACATTCTTTGTGCTTCCGCTGAGTTCGACATGTTCCTCCTCCCCCTGCTGAAACTGTGGCAAAAAAAAAAACTCCTTTGTTCCGAGATCTAAATATCCAGGAGCCTCGTGCCTGAAATTCAAATTCAACTCTGCCTCAATGTGAAGTTCAGCCTCCTCTCAACCTCCCTCTGCCTTTCTTCACCCATCCTTCTTCCCCTCCCCGTCTGCTCACCAGTGTTTACTTTGAAAGCGCTCATTCACTCATTAATTAGTAATTAGTGATTTGCGGCCTGGGGAGACGTCACTATGCAGATCCCACTCTCTGTTGAATCCAGCCACCACAGAGCAATCACCAGTTGCCTGCAGCAAGTCATTTGAATCCTTGTACTTTCCACTGTAATGATTTTCCATCACTATTCTGTTCTTGAATTTGTGTCTGAACTGATGAATTTATTGGACATCGGAAACCCACAATGCATCGCTCTGCCACTTCCCTGCTGCCTGTCTTCACTTTTTTTTTTCTCTTTGCACTCACTCCGTCCATCTGCCTTCGGAGAAGCTGCGCATCCCACAGGAATTTTTTTTGTGATCCTGCAGCTTGGCGGAGGGTCACAGGCATGAGGCCGCACCATTCAGAGTGACACATGCCTCCAAGACGTTCAGTACTGACAGGGGCAAAGGGTCGCTTCGGTTTTTCTCTCTGGTTACTTTGAACTCGTGAATGTCTCGCAGGCTCGGCA